CATTTTAGTGCTATATCAAATCAAACAAATGCATTGGAATGCATGATTGGTGGCCCGAGTACCGAGGGCCACACTCCCTTGAGTCCATAATATGATAGGGAGAGTGTCCATGCGTACATTTGCTTGAAAATTTCATGCCATACACTGCTTGCCCTCTGCTGCTGTCAGCTGCAGATTTCAGCAGAAAGAATTGGTCGGTCGGCAGTGTTGGATGCCAACCGGCAGTGTTGGGTGCCAACCGGCAGAACATGTTTGGCCGAGAGAATAACATTTGGCCGATAATCCCATTCCAATGGCCGGTGGCATTTTGTTCTGGCCGGTGGCATCCTAGAATATTCAGGGAATGATTCAAAGCAATTCTGGAGACTTTCAGAATTTTCAGAGGGGCAGGTGTAGACACCCCATTTTTGACCGACCTTAAGACTCAGACATCATCGATTGAGCGCTCGGTGATTGTGCATGTTGTGCTCGTTCTGAGGTTTCGGAGTTTTTAGCTGAATGCCTTGTCTCCGGGCCTCTAAACTCTTTCTGATTTGGCTCGGTTTGTGGACCAAGCCTTGTTTCTCTTCCCTGGAGGGAGGGAGTGGTCTGTAGACCACCTCTTTGTGGTCGTAGGCCACTTTTTTCGCTTGGAGACTAGTTTTCGATTTTTGGAGCCTTCGGTCACGCACCTTGTCTCGGGACCGTTTAACGTTCTCCGTTTGGCTTGGTTTTTGAACCATGCCTTGTTGCCTCTACCTAGAGGGACACTGTGGTCCGGGAGACCACTTTTGGTGCCGGTAAACTAGTTTTTTAGGCTTCCGGCTGCGCGCCTTGCCTCCCGAACTTTCGTCTTGCATCCTTTTTGGTTTGTTTATGGTACAAACCTTGTTTGGAAGGTGGTACAAGGGTGGGAGACCAATTTTTCCCCTTGGAGACCACTTTTCTTCCGGCCAGCCAGTTTTCTGGTCGGCTAACTGGTTTTCTTGGTCTTTGGACCACCTTTTCTGGTCGGCCACCACACCACCACCTTGCTTTCAGTGTGTAGACCACCTCTGCCCTCTGGCCGACCACTTCCATTGGTCGGCCGACCAGTAGAAGTAGCTGGCCGACCACTTCAACTGGTCGGCCACTTTCCAGCTCATTCCTGGAGATATTTTCTTTACAGTTGTAATAGCTGGAGGGCACAGAAGCCATCCTCCATACACGTGTATGGAGGGATGGCTTTAAGCCCTTAACTTCCTCAAGAAGCTTAACCTTTATTTTTTTATAAGAGAGAGGCTCCCCCTCCCTCCTCCAAGTTCAGATTTTTGGTCCCTAAGAGTTAAACATACACCTTCGTATCTATCTTGCTCTTGTTCTTCATTTTTGTGTTCAAAAGTGCATATTCTTCACACTTTAACACACAAACACACACTCAAACACCATGCTCTTGGAGCTGAGGTCCCTTGAAGTTGTTTTTGAAGTTTTTGGACTGGTTTTGGTAAGAAAAAGCTACTGGAGTTGCAGCTTTGAAGGTGATCTTCAAGGGTGAGCTTCTAACCCTTAAAACCCTTGTTTTGGTTTAAGATTTTGGACCTATTTGCATGCTGATTTAAGCTTAACTTCCTACTGAAAAAAGTTCTGTTTTTCAGTCCTTGTGATGTTTGTTTAAGGGCACTTTTGTATTGGGGGTGGTCTACCCCCTCTTAGGCCTTGTTTGGCCTTGCTTTTATGCCTTCTTTTTAAGCTATTGGGACCACCTTGTTTTGGCCTTCTCACCATTGAAACTCAGAGGAATTTCAGTGGTGGAAATAGTGTTTTAAGGTCCCAAATAGGAGAGGGTCATCCCCTCTCCTTGTGTTTTGAATACTTGCTTTGAATGCCTCATGTTTGAGCATGTTTATTAAGCTTGTGTTGACTCCATATTAGCATGTATTTGGGCTTATTTTGACATGTTATACCACTATTTTTACTTGGTTTTGTCATCCCTTGCATGCCTTATACACTTGTAGTGTATTTCTCATAAACTAGCGTTGTGTGCTTCATGAAGTAGCATGTTATTTTAGCATGTTTTGAGTTCATCTCAGTAGGTTTTTGGTGTTGTTTTAACATTCCTTAGATCTTTTTTGGGTTGGTTTGGTTGGCTCATGCATGCTCCATACACTTGTAGTGCAATTCCATGATTTAGCCTTACATGCATCATGTGTTTAGACCATCGTTCTAGCATGTTTTGGCTTAACTCTAAAAAGCTTTTGTCCATGTTTTAACATGCTTAAGCTCTGATTTGTGTTGTTTTGGTCATGCATACCATGCTTTGTATAGCTGTAATGCATTCTAGCTTGTTAGCTTTGTGTATCAAGTCCATTAGCATGCATTGCTTGGCCTATTTGAATGATTTGGTATCATTTATTATGAGATTTCAGTGCATTTTTCATGGTCATACGCTCACATCTTTCACTTATTCAATGCGTTGGAGGGTTTGCCCTTTATGCCTTAAACATGGGTCATTGCGTATGCCTTCATGCCTAAGCTTGCGGGCTATCATTTCAGTGTGTTTTGGGGGTTATTTTGCCATAATATAACTCTGATTTCTATTGGTGAAGCCATCTCATGCTTGGCCTTGATAGGTGTAGTGTAATCCTCCCTTTTGGCCTTGCATATTCCATGCTTTA